AGATCTTGATTGACTCTTTGGTGCCCTTTTCAAAACATATTCTGCTCTCAATTTGCAGGTTCAGTTGTCCGCAGTTTGACATGGGAAGAGAGGAAGCAGCATGTGTGTTTTTTTTTAAATAAATAAATAAAGCTTTGGTCGCTGTCAGAGCTTTCAGACTTGGTTTTGGAGAGTGAAATCAAACAGAATACAAATGGCTACATTCACAAGATTATTAAGAGAATGGGAGAATATAGTGGTATATGAATGGAAAATCTCTGAACACCACATCTTTAAAATGACAAAGAAAAAAACTACGCTCTTAATCTCTCCATTTTAACGGTCCGTGTCAGTAGTCTTATAATGAGCTTCTCACAAGCAAAATCCCTGTCTAATGACATAATGAGAGAGAGTTGGGTGGTTCAAAACTTCAACTTGAGCTCATTGATGTGGCTGATACTGTCCCTGTTTTATGTTGTATGAATCAATCAACTCCAAGCTCTTTTTTTTGTGCTACTGTCATCTTTATTAAAGAAACGCACCAACCACAGAAGAATAAAAATAATACTTGAAACCTCTTTTTTCTTATCTGGGGCAGATAACACCCAAATCACTTCATACACTCAGTCTTGCAAATTTGCATTAATTCAATGGCATATAGGGAAGAATGGGGCTAGTTGTCATACTCTTGTGATTTTTTTGTAGACACATACCTTCCATCAAAAAAGATATAGGTCATGGAACAGACATTGACCTTTTTGACAGCAACATTTTTTGTGCCTCATAAAACAGCCTTTTATGGGCTTTTCAGCTAAATTTGCATAGTAAAATGATTATGAGGCCCAAACCATAACATGTCCAAAATGTAAAAGGTAACACACGGATATTTTGCATTTAAAGCAGGCAACAACTTGTCCAACCTTGTTCTGAGAACTGATCAGTCCAAATATGTAGGCCTACATACACTACCGTTCAAAAGTTTGGGGTCGGTACAATTTTAAATACTTTTAAAATAATTCTCTTCTGCTAACCATGGCTGCGCTTATTTGATTAAAAATACAACAAAAATCAGTTATAGTATTAAATATTATTCCAGTGTAAATCAGCTGTTTTCTGTGTGAATATATAGTAAAGTGTAATTTATTCCTGTGATCAAAGCTGAATTTTCAGCATCACCAGTGTCAGTGTCTTCAGTGTCAAATGATCCTTCACAAATCAGTATAATCAGGGCCGCATTAAGAGCTCACTGGGCCCCGGGGCTATGAGTTACTGCAGGGCCCCCCACCACTACAGGTCACCAACTACATGAGCTAAATGTTCTATCATTATACGAGTCATTTTATCCATCTATGATATACTTCACAGTTAAGTTATATTACTTTTAAAACGATTTTTTATCATATCAAAATTGAATGGCACTAACATTTCATAATTCTTGTGAGTTGTGACCAATTTCAATATCACAAAAATAATAGTAACTTAAGAAAAGAATCTCAAGCTTACCGATGACAAGAGTCACAAATAACAATAGAACAAAGGCACATAAGAAATTGACCTTGAAAAACTTAAAGCACTGAATAATATTAAATTGTATAAAGTTATCAAATATACAATACATAGTTTTCACTATAAATTCAACATTCATTCTTATTAATTTTACAAAAGTGATTCATTCAAGGGCAGTAAATGACTTTCTTTCTGATGTTGATTAAAGGAGAACTCCGGCGCAAAATGAACCTCGGGTGTAATAACACATTGGTACAGACTAAATCGTTCCCTGAGATTTGTTTTCATGATAATCGAATATAAAGAGTTTTATCTCTAAAAACAGTTTAGCTTATAACGCTAGTATATTGGGCATCGAGTAAGCAAAAAGAGATCGTTAATACCATTAACAAGGCTCAAATTAGCCCCACATTAACACGGCAGCATAATGAGTGTCCTTACATGCAAACCGAAGCATTGAGAACTTTGTAAGTGTATAGACAGTTTAATAAGAAGATACTTTACACAGACAGTACAGTTAGCGCATACAGACAGGAGCCATCTTGGAAAACAGTCTCGATCAGTCGAACCACGAAGGTGAGCGAACAGTACGTGTAGATATTGAAGATAAGATAAATTATTTTTATTTTTTTATTTTCTCTGTTGCGTTCAGTGCTTCTCTTATGCGCTCAGTGCTTTCTTCCGGAAACAACGGACCATATGAGATTCCAACTCACAGTTCAGCTCACGTATCACCGTGTTCGTGGTTTGACTGATCGAGACTGTTTTCCAAGATGGCTCCTGTCTGTATGCGCTAACTGTACTGTCTGTGTAAAGTATCTTCTTATTAAACTGTCTGTACACTTACAAAGTTCTCAATGCTTCGGTTTGCATGTAAGGACACTCATTATGCTGCCGTGTTAGTGTGGGGCTAATTTGAGCCTTGTTAATGGTATTAACTAGCGATCTCTTTTTGCTTACTCGATGCCCAATATACTAGCGTTATAAGCTAAACTGTTTTTAGAGATAAAACTCTTTACATTCGATTATCATGAAAACAAATCTCAGGGAACGATTTAGTCTGTACCAATGTGTTATTACACCCGAGGTTCATTTTGCACCGGAGTTCTCCTTTAACAATATGGACACAAATGGCGACAGCACCTTTATTAGCAGCTACTGTCACTTTAAGATCTCAGGGTCGGAACTCAAGTGCGCTGTGCAAAACCGTCTCAAGTTCACCATCATTTAAAATAATTTGTATCCAAACCACAATGATTAAAAACGCGTTTAATTTATAAACTTACATCATGATGTCTCAGCAAAATTTACACATTTCTACCGGATATATCGCCAGCCCTTTAGGCAAATATAGAGTTTGATCAAACATAAAAAGCAATATCAAACATCCATCAAGTTAATAATCAAACTTACCGAAAATTTGTGGGGTCGACGATGACGCTGTGTTTTAAAAAATAGTCTAGACTCTAGAATGAAGTGAAGGGTGGAGGCGATTTATTGGTTGATGCGTAGCTATATTCTAATAAGGCGCGCAGGCACTCCAGGCAGCCATCTATAGGCCTATGTGCAGCATAGCAGGTCGATCGTTCACAAGTTAAATATAGAATAAATGTATTATGTTAAATTAAAACGTGACGTTTCATTTCACCATGCCCTGTCCTGCTGCCCACGGGGGTTTGATTGACAGGCGACCTGGCCAATCATAACGCCGAATACGCAATTTTGTCCGACAACAAAGCTGTCAGTAGATTAACGTCGGTGGACTTGAACTTGAAAACGGTATTGTTTAAATGATTTAAATTACAATATTTGAAAGTTGAGACTTTGTTTCATATCAACAGTAAGCTGGTCTGAACTCTCTCTCGTAGTCAATTGTGTAACGTTGGTCTTTGCCCCGCGATGTATTTTTCAGTGAGTGAGAACATGATGTGCGTGACTCGTGAGAGCCGCCTGGCTTGTCACACAGTAACTAAAAAAGGCGGGTCTTTGCGAACGGTCACTATAATTATAATGATTCCATGATAATGCATGGAATATTCGGCAAAGCGCTACTAAATAACAGGGCTAATTTGTGGGGGGCGTTGCGTGGTAAGGCTTTGGCAATCAGATGGCTAGTAGTATCTGCTCCACAGCCAATCAAGGGCCCCCTCCTTGTTCGGGCCCTGGGGCTTTAGCCCCGCCTAGCCCTATTGTTAAAGGATTTGATGCTCAAGAAACATTTATTATTATTATCAATGTTGAAACAGTTGTTGGTCTGTCAGTTGTACAGTTTTTTTTTGTTTTTTTTGGATTCTTTGATGAATAGGAAGTTCAAAAGAACAGCATTTGTTTGAAATAGAATCTTTTGTAACATTATAAATGTCTTTACTGTCCTTGATAAATAAAAGTATTGATTTCTTTGCTCCAAAAAATTAAAATAAAATTCTCACTGACCCCAAACTTTTGAACGGTAGTGTATTTTACTACATTATGCATTAATATAATATTATACCATATCACACATTATAGTCTTGCTTAAATTTCTGTGCGATGTTGGTGTTTAGTTTACACATCAACTTTAGCCATTTTATTTTGTAAACTGAAAGGTAATTAAATCATATTGTTTCAGTGCATATTAAAGTCCAAACATTAGCTAGCTATTCGGTCTTTGAGAAGAAATCGTTGCTTTAATACACCCATGGCACTTCAACATCATGTTTTCTCTTGCCTTCTTTAATATCACCACATAAAAATTTAGCTGTAAGTCAAAATCCAAACCACAAGTGTGGAGTCACTCTAATTTGCCAGGTTGAAAAAAAATTAAGCAAACACAGACACCTGTCTTCAATCTAAAAAAAAAAAAAAAAAAATCTGGTTTAGTGAAACATTTGATATGTTCAAGGTCAGACCTATGAGAGAAAAACCCTAATGCTGAATGCAGGTAGGCTATCATTATTAATAGGCTAATCATTTTAGAATCATAATTTGAATGTATAAATAACTATCATGATAAGCCAACTTCTGAAATTACTCAAGTGTAAGTTTGTTATAAGACTTGCTAAGACTTTTATTTTCTCTTTAAACCATACTATTAATAATAGGCTAATAATAAACAACAGCAGCATCTTTCTCTCAAAAACATGCACCTCAAGCGGTATGAGTGATTCACACTCACCTAAGAACAGTTAGCTTCATCAGGGAGGGGTTTAGGCTAAAGTCACCGGCATGTTTTCTTCAGAAACACACACTACTAAAACGACTGATCCGAGCGCGCGCGTGCGTCTGATGGAGGAATGTAGGCTACCACCGAGAAACTATATGAATCTATCAGTCTGAAGGAAAAAAACTACATATTATCCTCTTATTGGTAACTATTTTGTAACCTATGTGTACATACTGCTTTACGTCTTTTCTGCTATTGAAGTGAAGATGACCAGGCGCTCGTATGGAATGGATATGCCGATGCACCCTTTTTTTCTACGTTCACCGGTTACTATAGGCTAATTTTGTAATCTTTGTTAAACATACTTTTTTTTATTATTAGTTAAAAGTAAAATTCACTTTGTATATTAAAATGAAATGTTTATTTTGTTTACAAAACAGAATACAAAATTAGTCAATCTTCATGGTTTCTGACATTTTAATCCCAATGGATATTCTTTAATAACGGTAAGCATTGCATTGGTCTTCACTGAGTTGTAGGCTACATAAGATGATGTGTCATAGGAACTTGTTGCAACATGCAACTTATTTTTATATTTTCTGGATTTGTAAAGCATCCACAACCAACTAAATATGACTCACTGTTGCATTCTTCAAGAGAGCTGTTGATTCCAGGACGAAAGAATAACATTGAGAGGTCAAAGGCAGGCGAATGAACCTTGAGGAATGTTTTAAACGATTTGAGGCTGCAGGAGCCTCTGTCAGTACATGCCAGTTTGTTTCTCTCAGCTGTAAGCATTTGGTGTGGCTGTGGCTGAATCCCCTACTTCAGCTTAATTTTTTTTTTATGACAATATGAAAGTATGGGATATTGAAGTTTGGTTGAGTCATATTAAAGGGCTATCCCTGATTTTAAACTTATGCTGAAAAAGAAAAAACTGTCAGCTGTGGTTCCCAGAAATGTATTGTGACAATGTTTTAGATATTACAGAATGGCATATTGGTATGTTTTACAACTTACTACTGTATATATAGGCCTATCATCAAGTGAAATGACTTGAACTTTCCAGTCTACTTAAACCATCAAAATCAGCTTTTTACCCTAAAATGGTGTTTTACCCTATTATACTGAAAACCATAATAATAATGTATAGAAAGCCACATGCTAAATCAGAGTTCATTGTTAGTGGCCTGTCTATGAAACTGAAAATGTATAACACAAAACGTGTTTTAGCCCTCTGATAACAAAAATAAGAAGAAACAAAACTAGAACATAATCATGTGATGTGTCATGCAGGGACTTATTGGTTCTTTTACGGTTTTTCACTGTATATTAAATGGTGATTCATATAGTTCTGACTTACAAAATAACATACATTTGAGAGTGTTTTGCAGTACAATTACTTATAAGATATTTTACAGTCTTTTACAGTTTTTATCTATATGATAAATGTAACTTACAGCTTACCAGTTAACAGGTTTTTTTAATGTATACATTTTGCAGTCTTGTAAAAAAAATTACAAACATTTTTGTACTGTTGCTGCTGCCTTATATTATGTTTAATATTCACTGTATGTGGTTGATCTGTAAACAGAAAAAAAATGTACGTGGCGTGACAAAACATTTTACACAAAACTGGATAAAAATGCATAATTGCCGTATTTATTTCAAAGATGATTACTAAATGATGAAACGTTTTTGTACGTTTTCAACGTACTTGAAACGTTTATCTGGGAATAATGCTTACTGTTGTCTTTAGTAGGCCTACAAAGTGCAGTAAACGGTTAAACAGCGCTTACACTACAAAGTTCAAACCAGTATGATTACTATAATACATTTAAATAATATGGAAACAAACACCAGTTTGCAATTATAAGCAGACTGTTTTTGTACAGTTAAAATATTGGAAGTTGATGACAACGGAAGCCTCAAATATTTAAGTTAAATGGCAACACACACTCTTAAAAATAGCAAAAATATTCTATGCTTAAAGCTAACAAAAAATATTTGCTAATATCTCCATTAAGTTATTTAAAGCTCCAGTCTGAAACATTCTGAAACAAGTAGCCTATACATTTCAAAAATATTACACGAACATCCAACTAAAACTATAAATAATGGTTTTGTAATGTTTCGAGAACATTATTAAAGACCATAACTTTGAATGAACGTTCTGTTAATGTTACTGGAATAACGTTTGTGCAAAACTTGGAGAGAACTTTGCCAGAACGTTCTGAGAATGTTCCGTTAGCTGTATACATGGTTAGTTCACCCAAAAATGAAAATTATGTCATTAATGACTCACCTTTCCAAGCCCATAAGACTTCCGTTCATCTTCGGAACACAGTTTAAGATATTTTAGATTTAGTCCGAGAGTTTTCTGTCCCTCCATTGAAAATGTATGTACGGTATACAGAAAGGAAATAAAGACATCATCAAAGTAGTCCATGTGACATCAGTGGGTTAGTTAGAATGTTTTGAAGCATCGAAAATACATTTTGGTCCAAAAATAACAAAAACTACGACTTTATTCAGTATTGTATTCTCTTCCAGTTCTGTTGTCAATCCACTTACTGACGTAAGACGCTGCTGACGTGTCATCTGGTGCGCCCGAGCTTCGTTTACAGTCTGAGGGAGACGCACGCTGTAAACAAAGCAATCTTCGCAAACATGTCTAAGGATTTCGACACAGAGGAAGACTTGCATTTTTTTGCCCAGCCATACTTATTTGAACCCGAATACACGGACGCACCAGATAACACGTCAGTGTACCGTACATACATTTTCAATGGAGGGAAAGAAAGCTCTCGGACTAAATCTAAAATATGGGAGGTCTTACGGGCTTGGAACGACATGAGGGTGAGTCATTAATTACATAACTTTTTCATTTTTGGGTGAACTAACCCTTTAAAGTTAACACACTACAATCTTTCAAATGATCTGTTCTAAGATATTTCTCCACTCTTCCAACAGCTCTACATGAAGATGGGAGCCCCGCAGCTAAACACTCCACTGAGTTAGCCATGCATCACACCAATTCATCAGGCGCTGCGCCACTCAATCCATTTTCCAATCACAGTCAGTGGGAAGGACAGGCGACCTCTCCATCACTTTCCAATCCCGAGAATGTCACCTCGGAGAGACCGATCCTGAGCGGCCCCATAGCTGCGATGTTGTCAATGACCCTGGGGATCCTGTCTAACATTGTGGCTTTACTCATCCTGGCAAACGCATATGCCCGTCTACGCCGACGATCCAAAGCATTTCTCCTGTTCGCCGGCTCTCTGGTGGCCACAGACTTTGTGGGACATGTCATACCTGGTTCAATAGTCATGAGGATGTATCTTTCTGGAGGTGTACCCTCTGAAGAATACAACAGGGCGGACCCATTATGCCAGTTTCTAGGGGGCAGCATGGTGTTTTTCGGACTGTGTCCGCTCTTTCTTGGTTGTGCCATGGCAGCGGAGAGGTGTTTGGGTGTGACAAAGCCGCTGCTCCATGCTTCACTGGTTACGACCGCAAGGACTAAACTCTCTCTTTCTATCATCTGGTTAGCAGCTCTTTGCGTTGCCCTTCTGCCCTGCTTTCAGCTGGGTTCATACACCTACCAGTACCCTGGAACCTGGTGTTTCATTAAAGTGCTGGAGGATACCGAGAAGGCAGACGTAGCTTTTGTGTTGTTGTTCTCAGGACTGGGGTTGACATCCCTTGCTATTGCTTTGGTCTGTAACACCATAAGTGGACTGACTCTGGTGTTAGCGAGGATACGAAGGAAACCCTGTAACCGTCGATTAGCTAAATCCCATGATATTGAGATGGTAGTACAACTTGTGGGGATAATGTTCACATCTTGTGTCTGTTGGAGCCCCCTTCTGGTAAGTATGAGCAATGGCAATAATTCAACTGCACACAACGCTGTCCCTCGAGGTTCACTTTCCTGCAGAGTTAACTCCAACCTTGATCAAATTCATCTGTCTGTAACTTTCTAAGAATCCTGAAAACCTTGATTTGCTTGTTCAGGTGTGTTTGATCAGGGTTGGAGCAAAACTCTACTGGAAAGTTGAGTCTACAGGACCATAGGGGCAGAGTTGAGAACCCTTGCTTTAAGGTAGAATTATTTTAGAAATAGAATTTAGAAATGAAAAAAATGAGCAAATGCATTGAAGCTCATTTATGCATCAGAGTAAAAAACTAAATAAAAAGGCAATTACAATTTTATATCCCATTATATTTCTCACTGTGACTTTATATCTTGCAGTACATTGTAAACCCTATGAGATTAGACTACTCAAATGATTTGAGGAAACTCATTTGAGAAGTAATGGTGCCTAAAAAAAAACAAAAAAAACAAGTTCACCTAATGTGTAATTGTTATCGTGACTTTATTTCTTACAATGTGACTTTATTTCTGATTTTAAAGTTTATCTTATGATTACTTTTTAATTGAATAGTGCTTGGCCACATGTCCAACACCAAGAATATTTTTATGAAGCATATTTAAAACTCACGGTACAGAGAAAAGAATTCTAATAAATCGTTATTCAGTTTATTCAAGCATTGAAGGCATGCAACACATAGGTTGTTTATGTCCAGTATCTGCACATAAAAAAACAATTGTTCTGTCCCAAAGGTCATACATGCTTTTTACTAATACTATGCACTATGTACTCAACTGTTTAGTGAAATTAAATCTGCGACAGTTGAGTGCATGAAGTGTCCAACATTCCTCGCTTAATTTTTACATAATTAAGTGCATCAATCGGGTATTTAAAGTGCACTTTTTTCTTTTTGGAATTGTCAGTATACTACTCACACTATTTATACCAAAAAATGGCGTAGAATCGTATGTACGCGAACTGGGACACACCTAATATTTTAAATTGACTGGATTATAGATTACTTGGACCTTAAAGTTAGGGTAGACAATTTTTTAAACACTTTTTATTATGCTTGTTGAAACTCTCTTCACATACTTATAGCAATCAATAATAGATCTAAATATTAAAACATGCACAAGTCTCAGGGTAGGCAATTTCGGAGAGACTAGCAATAGCAAGCTAGCTTTGAAAGCATGAGATCCCACCCCCCCTTCAGAGTGTCTCCAAAGCCACGCCTCCTTCAAAACACATGAACACACACACAGCAGAGACGGCAAAGTGTCACAAGACGAGAGAAGGCGTTGAATTATCTCCTAATATTTTGTGAAATCATAATCCTTATGGTGTTTTGTCTTTGACTCTTAACTCTAGATTGTTGGCCTAATTACAGTGAAACAGTCGTATGAGGGCTCTGTTGGAGTTGGAGATGTCCTTGCCACCTATAAGACCCTGATGATAATGGGGGTGCGAATAGCTTCCTGGAACCAGATACTGGACCCATGGGTTTACATTCTTCTCCGCCGTTCCATCCTCCAAAAGATTTACCTCATCACCAAACGTCAAACAGACTTTAAGGAAAGCACTTATCGCTGCTGGGAGATCCATTCCTTCCCCAGCTCAGAGAAGAATCCTGTCAGTAGAGTCTGAGTCTGAGTGTACATCAGTAAAAAAACACAAAGCCTACTTTGTCAAATACCATTGAGGATCTCAGTGGTCCCCTTTTATTTCAGCATGTGGTGCGCATGTTAAGAATGTATTTAAGCAAATTTGCACAAAGATAAATAAAGCATGAGATGAACATTCCTTTAAGGATTTGGCTGGAAACATTCATGCCAGTATAACAGTTTTGGTCCTTCCGTTAGTAATTGAAGCATTAATTCAGCCAGTTTTGTAGCTTAAGGTATGGGACAGTGTTTTCATTTGTCACCAGTTGTTCCCCATGACGACTGTCCTGGGCATGAAACATGACATGATAGTGACAAGTGGCACTAAAAATATATTAAAGTATTTGTTTTACTGAAAATAAATGTTCACCTAATGTTAACCCATCATAGATTTTATATAGCATGATCATCAATAATATATTACTGTGAGGTAAACTCTCTGAGGCTTCCCTTAATATGTTTATCTTGCATATATGTTTCTGTGTAAAAATGCTCATGTAAATAATTGTTGTTTATATTATAGTATAATTTATTTCTTGTGTTATCCCTCCAATTTTTTGGGAGGCTTGTTGTATTTTTACATTGAAAAGCATTATACTAAAACAAAACAAATTACTGTGTGTGTATTCCATTTCTGTTGCTAATATGAAACAAGTTTTTATTTTTAAAAAAATGTGTTACTTCATAACTAATTTGCAGCATGGAGCACACTAAACAAATCTGCAGGCTCAAACTTAATACAAATTAATGAATTAAGAAACAGAATATTCAAAAAGCCAGAATTATAATACCCTTACTGCAGGCATTTCTTGCAATTTAGTTATTTAACATAGTAGTTAACACAATAGTTTAAATAGCCTAAAAATAGGCTTTTCAGCAAACTTATTAAACTATTGCCTGGTTTAACTTAAGCCTAGTCCCCTGGCCAGACTAAAATGCATGCTTGAGCTGTCTTCACTGAAAGCAACTTGCAGTAACATATTTTATATGTCAGTGCCATTGTTTTGTCTCAAGAGACACACCAGAATTATTTTATTTTTTCTAAGGCACATTTCTAAAAGCTACTTAAATATCCTAATTTTACTAAGCCCTACTCCTGATTTAGTCTAAGCCCTGTCTCAGTGGCGGCCTTAAGCATCTGGGGGCCCGCTTCAATAACTGATATGGGGCCCTACCCACATAAAACATAAACATAATAGAGCAGAAAAAGCAAGGATTCCTGTTGGTTTGCATCAGTGGTATATTATTTTATTACGTGCACTTTCAGCTTCACGATCAGGCAGCTCAACATAGAAATAATCCAACCTTATTTGATTAAAACTATATACAATTATACAGCGTTTTACGTCGAAATAAGCCTCGCCCTTTCACGCAGGGTAACTTCACTTTTGGTAGACTGAATAAAGCTTTTCTTTTGTTGTCCGATATCTTTCGTCGTTTTCAGCACCACTGGCATATGTACGTTTCATTTCCTCTTAAAATAATTTTTCTGCTCAAAATAACATTTTAACCTAACGGCAAAAAAGGCAAAGGTGTAAATACATAAACTACCGATATTATACTTCACATCGCTTAAGCCGTTCGCGGGAGTGGTAAACGTCGCCATGGTAACCGCGAGTTCGATCAATCAGAGACGTCAGTGTTTTGCAAATAACAAGATTGATTTTGTAGCTTGTGGCTTTTAAAGGAGCAGAAACTTTCATTTGACAACCTCGTAGCTCGTGGTCAATCTACCTTGGATGGTTTAGACATTATGGCTGAAAATCAATATCCTACGGAGAAAATGAATGGGATTTTGCTGGTCTGTTGGGGCCCCCTTGGAGGGCGGGGCCCGTTTCAATTGAAACGGGTGAAACATAGGTAAGGCCGCCCCTGCCCTGTCTGTGAAACCAGGCCTATATGGTTGAAATCAGGCTAAGTAAAAAAGAAAAGAAAAACACGAAAATGCCTCAAAAAGCACTGGCTAATAGTAATAGCTATTGTTGTAATTATACCTGCGGAGGGCATATTTTACATTCATACTGTAAAAAAAATGGCGTACAGGCCGCAGACGCATTAATAATAATTAAAATAAAAAATAATCTCTGAATGCAGTTCCATATACTTCCTTTAAGCGAGGCGAAATCTGACTGCGCATGCGCTGCGGGGTCAGAGCGTGGCCCGGAAGTTGAGCATTTTCGCTTCCATTGAATAAACTGAGCGAATGGTGAGTAAAACAAATCTGTTTAGATTTGTAGAGAAACACACGGACTCGCAATATTAAAGTCTACGTGATCTTAAAGACGTCCTCGAGTTTTTATTTACACTAGCAGCTGTGCAGGTAAATATGAATGGTTGTTTCACGTCGTGCGTTTAACCAAATGACTCGTTCGCGCGCGTGCTAGCGTGCTTCTCCGATAACGAATGTTTTGTTATGACGCGATAGATGATTTATATTGAATACATGCTTTATTATTGTCCTTTGTAGTGTTAAGAAGTTGTAGTTTTATTAAGAAATCCGCCAAGAACGTTAAACCCTTTTAAGAACACCAAAGAGAAGCATTTATATTCACTCGCTTATTAGCGCGCGCGTGTTATATGGGTTTGTCTGTTTGTATTGTTTGTCAACATTGTGCGACTTGTGTGCAGATCATTGTTTGATGGATATGGCTCAAATGGGACATTTTCCGAGGCGGAGGGAAGGACCTCTTCCACCTCATCCACCACCCTCCTGGGATGAGCACCAGGCCTATGAGGAGCTGTTATACTGGGATAATCTCATGCAGGAGGGTTACCGCCTGCACCCGCAGGACTACGACCGGTAAAACACCTAGTCTATTCTTACAGCTAAACATATTTCTAAACAGGCTTGGAGTTTTATTTTTTATTTGTTTAAATAAATAATAAAAATCCAAGTTTTGTCCAGCATCCACAAATATCTGGAAAAATCTTGTTGAAAAAAAGATGGGAACCCTCTCTAAATCCACTGAGTGGTATCTTGACACACTGAGCTTGATTGAATAAACATAAATAATATGCAATGAAACTAAATTCAAGTTCTGTTGCAGGTATGAAGAGTTGCGTTATTGGTATGACTGCTTGTGTTATGAAGAAGACCTCAGGCAGTACAATGATTACATTGTTGAGTACAGGAAGTGGGAAGAGGAGAATGTGCACTCAGGGGAGGTATGTCATGTCAATATATTAAATTTACAATGCAAATTCATTGCCTGGAGAATATTTATTAGAACTTTTTAAAAGACTAGTACTTTGTTTCCAACATTTGTTTGCATAAATTAATGAGAAACATGAATAAATTAAGTGCAACTGCAACGTTTTTACTCCAGTGTCATTAATTCAACACTTGTGTTACTCAGCCGCTTCCACCAATGAGGCCACCGCCGCAGCGAACTTTTGTGAACGAGGATCGCTATATAAAGGCCAAGCACACAACGGTGTACCCGTCAGCAGAGCAGCTGGATGCAGTGCAGAGCATGGTGTCTCATATGGAGTGTGCCCTGAAGTCCGTCTCTGATTGGTTAAATGAAAAAGAGAGTAGTGCCGCTGATACTGAAAGGTATGGCTCAACTGTTGGTCATAGAAGTCATCTGCTCTAGTGCATTTAGACTTTCAAAAATTGCATTTCATTTTATGTTCATATATAGTTCATCCAGAAATGAAAATTCTCTCATTCTGTGAGTCCATATAATGACATTCAATGTCTTTCGCTTGTTTGACACTTGAAAAACCACACAAGGCGATTGTGACGGTAATGCATACAACCTCAGTAGATGAATCGATGTCTTCTCAAGCAAAACAATAGGTGTGTAAGAAAAATATCATTTCTTTTTTAAATTGAAGTGGTGGCCTCACATCCTACGTGCTTCTGCACAAGCTTTACGGCGCACTTATGTCACCCGTCACAACATCCCTCTTGTGAACGCTTGTATGACCGTAGACCGTATTGATTTATAGTTAAAAACAGTTGTATTTTTGATACACACACACACACACACCTGTTGTTACACTTCAGAAGACATTGATTCATCCTTTGGGGTCGTATGGTTTACTGTTACAATCGCTGTGTTGTGGTTGTTTTTAAAGCATCAAATGAATGGCAGTCGTTCAATGGCATTATATGGACTCAAAGAGATGGATTATTTTCCTAGAAATCTTCATTTGTGTTTATCTGAAGAAATAACGGGAATGGTATGAGGGTGAGTAAAAGAGAGAATTTTCACTTTGGGTTGAGTTATCTCTTTAAGCTATTGCAAGATACTTTATATTTCAGTTAGACTCATGCTTGCAGTCCATGCTGTTTTCCCAGCAGTGATTCACCTCAAAGTAAACTGCGTGGTGTTTTGAGAGTGGGCCTGGTGGCTAAAGGACTCCTGCTGAAAGATAACTTGGAGTTAGAGTTGGTGCTGCTCTGCAGGGATATGCCCACCAGTTCTCTGCTCAGGCTGATCTCGGGAAAACTCTCGGAATTCATTAAGGTTTTTCTCACCTTTTATTATTCAGTGCTATCATTATATAAACATTCATTATCAGTACAATGAATGTCTGCCAATAGCTCTGCTTGTGTTTCAGTAGACCCATTAAGAGGAACAAATGGCATCTTTCTGCAGAATGTATTCAAATGTAGGAAAAAGTTAAAAAGAGCTAACAACACTACACTTGTGTTGATATTTGAAAGCATTATAAAATTGGATAATGTTTTCAATAAACATGCAAGGGGCAACGTATACACTACCATTCAAAAGTTTGTTGGCAGTAAGATTTTTTTTATAAGAATTAACACTTTTATTCAGCAAAGATGCATTAATTTAACCAAAAGTGACAGAAAATACATTAATATATATATTTTTTTACATTTTCAAATAAATGCTGTTTAACTATCTATTCATCAAAGAATGCTAAAAAAGAATGACAAGAAAGTAATAAGATTTTTTTTCATATGACTTCTGAAGGAACATGACACTGAAGACTGGTGTGATGGCAGGTGACAATTCAGCTTTGCCATCAAAAAAAAGCATTTAAATATAAAATATATTAAAATAGAAAAGTTACTTTAAATTGTAAAAATATTTCACAATACTGCTGTTTTTATTGTAACAAATAATTGCAGCCTTAGTGAGCATAAGAGTCTACCAACTAC